GTCATTTTCTCTAATGTATAATATTAATATATCTATTATGTATACATATATGTATATGTTTGTATTATACTTATTACGTGTGTATGTGTGTGTGATAAATATAGTTATATTAGTTTTATTTAGTTGTATTGGCTATTACGTATTACCATTCTGCCTTTATAATTCGTTCATATATATTCTCTTATACGGCTATTCCAYCTCACTCGCCGAGTCAAACTGTCGTTCTTTATAATATATTATAATAATATAAGGAAAAGAATTGCACAACGAGAGAGAGAAAGAGAGAATAGAGAAACAAAGTTAAATTATCCTCGTGAAACATATTATTAATTATTATATCATATAATATAGAAATGTACTTATATGTAGCTCGCATCATCTTGCAATGTCTCCAAAATCCGATACTGGCACAGACATATAACTAGCTACTGATATGTATTAATTTACTACATATTTAAACGATTTTTTTATGTATCAGGAATCAGGACATTATATACAATTCTTAAAAACACGAATACTGACCATAGAGTATAGTATAGATAATAGACGCTATGACGATGGTTGATGCTCTTGAGACAATGTGATGATAAAGGCCAAAGGGGAAAGAATAAAATTAATTACCATTCAAATTTAATTGGCAAATTATTAATTTATTATTTTGACTGCTGTTACCCAAAGAGTTACCTCATTTTGTGCTAAACTGATTTTATAATACGTTTCTGCTGGTTTATATAGGCGATCCAATCAATTCTTGACTCTATCACATCGGAGATTTTATAATTTATAAAAATATAAAAGTTGCAGAGAAATTAAAATCATTAATAGAACTCACTATGTAACATTACTACGATAATTTATAGACAATTGACATAAATCCTAGATCCAATGTTTATAATAATTATTAAGATTATTAATAGACTTAGACTACGGCAATTATAAATTGTTTTAAATCATGGCAATCTTAGAGTAAATGCAGTTATTTTATGAATTTTCATTATTACTGGTAACATAATATATTTACTATAAAGTTCCGAGACAAAAGATATACCATATTATACATTAGTATATTACAATTTAAAAGTTCATAAGAAAACTACTCTTAAATTATTAATTCTTAATTCTACGATTAACAAATACGGCTGACTACTGAGGACCATGGCTWTAAGAAATATGCACAAATCTAAAAAGTAAAAAAATCTCAGTTTCAGAAGTTCTTCRAGTTTCACCTAAACAACATCTTAAACAATATCGTTGCAGTCATTTGATTACAGGAAAAATTTATAATTAAACACATTTGAAAATCGCTCCGTCGAGTATTATAGATTTCGAGTAAAAATCTTGATATTTTTTAGTAATGAAACATGGAGGCATTTAATTTAAATTCTATGGTTAATCATTGCAGGTATAGGTCGTGATAAACGATTCTTA